TTCCCTACAAGATTACATCCATTGTCCAAATTTCATTGTCTTTATCTTCCTCTTCTCGTGGACGCAATGTTTAGCTGCAATTCTCAGTTTCCTCTCGGCATTTTGTATAGGATTAACAACAGCCATGAGCTTCTCTTCTCATTTCCTGATCTCACCCTAAACTTGCACAAATGTTTGGATCCCCAACATCTTCCTGTTCTAATTGCTTGATATCATCTGGAAAACCAGCAACAGTCCCATTAAGAAGCAATCAAGCTGATAATATGGAGTTTGTACTATTTAATTTGTAAAAGATGACTTCTGCATTCTGTAAAAGTGTAAATGGAAACATGAGAGAAGGACAGAGATGTTCAATGGTGAATGCTTTGTCATCTTTTGTACATGTAAATCGTATCTATATGCAACACATATCATGCCTATGCGAACAACTATCCTTAACGTGAAATGAAAGAAGATATTGGACAAACAATCATGATGAATAACAAGTGATTAACTATTGAATAGTTTCTCTGATGCTTTATTGAACAATGTTTAGGTAGAAAATTTCAGAGCGAAAAATAAACTGAGATCAGTTTTCCAACAAATCCTTCACAAACTATAATACGCACAGTTGGATGTCATATGCAAACAATGGCCATTCTTCGTGAGTGATTTGAAAGAAGATTTTGCTGAAACTATCGAGGACAAATATTCCTCTGCAAGCAGCAATCAGAATATTTTAAGTAATAACATGCTAGCAACGCAACAAACGAGCAAACATCCTCCATCTGAAAGGCAAATTTTTGCCATCTTTTTAAGCAGGTTGGACACGAGCAAGTGCCCAATGTCCTTAGAACATGCATCGTCTTTCTTCCCAAATTAGCCAGATGTAATGCTCTGTCTTTCCCTGAATCAATCAACTTCAGTGCTTTAAGAAAATAACCTGGTTTATTCGGTTCACGACCCGACTAAGACCAGTTGTCCCATCAAAGAGTAGAGAAAACAAGATTTTGCACAGTCAAGTTGCTTGCAGCATCATCACTTGACTTTTGTCTTCAGTTGGCAATAGAAGTAACCTGGCCATCAGTTAAAAAAAATAGGCTACTTGACCTGTTTTATAAGAAATAACTTTAATTGAGTTTTTTTTTTTCATATTTTTTCCTGCTAACTCTATTATAGTAGAAAAGAATAAATACCACCAGGAGACTTGAGACACCTCGTAACCACATGTGAGGGTTCAAGATCGCAAATTGTTTCCCGTATATCCTAAGATTACACAAAGAAAAAAGTGTTATAAGATCCATGTCTAAGACATTTCTATCAGAATGACAGACAGTTGCTAAGATCATGCTGACAACAAGCAACACAGCTAGTTCAAAGGATTAAAGCTCCCATGGAGACAAGAGAGTTGTTCTAAATCTAAATATTATAAATGTGCCCATAACTTCTACATGTACTCCCCTTTTTCTTTTCTTTTGTGGATAACGTTTTGATATTATTTGAAAGTTGAAACCAACTGCTAAACATCTGTAACGTAACAATTATATCATTCCTCAAGATCTCATCCGAAGCATAAAATAATGGAACTCGTGCAAGATTTTGTCTCACATAATCAGTGAATAATCTGCCTCCTCCAAAAAAAAAGTTGATTTGTCTGTGTATCTAGAGACCTAGTTGGTAACATCACCGACGGCAGACTAGAAATTAGTTCTAGCCCTTGGCAATACACTGCTGATATGGTTCTGCAAAACATCAAGTAATTACCACAACCCAGGACAAAAGCACTCAGAGCCATCAAAACAATAAGCCATAAAAGTAAAATCATCAGCATAATGTAGTGACATATTGGTAACATCGCCAAATTAGACTTAAAAACAGTTCTAGCCCTTGGCAATACAATGGTAATACGTTTTTGAAATTCTTTCTTCACAAACTTCAACTAATAACCCCAAAAGCAGGAGAAAAGTTCTCAGAGCCATCAAAACAATAAATAAACAATAAAAAAAAAGAAGAAAAAGGGCCACTTCTTGTCATGATCACTGATTAACTGACGAGAATTATATAAAAACAAGAGATAAAAGATTTAAATTAATCACTTCTAAACTAACATGTGATCATGAGAATCTATGAGATTTAAATTCGAATTTCACAATGCTAGATAAGCTCAAGGATACATCATATACAAAGCAAGAACAAAAGGAAGTGCATAAAAGAGAGAAAAAGGGTGTGAGATTAAAGGAAATATCATTATCAATAAATTTTCTTGCTTTCTTCTTTTATCTTCTCTTATCCTTCTTATCCTAATAAACTTCAACGTGGTTTGTTTACTTAACAGCTCAACCTAGACATTTGCTTCTTTTATACTACTTGCTAAACTCAAGAAAGCCTAAAATTCATTTTTGTTAAAAAACAAAAAAAAAAAAAAAAGGAAAAGCAAAAAGAGCAGCCCTATCTTTGTTCAAAAAATTCAAATCAACTTGTATGTCATTTCCCAAAAAAGAAAATTGTTATGTGATCATCACGTAAGTAAAAAAGCATGCCAAAATGCCTCCAATTAATACTTTAGAGGAAAGAAAGCTGTATTACTATCTGCCCTAAATCAGGGTACACAAGAAACACAATCAGCATTGAGCAGAACAATAAAACATGGGACAAAGCCAAGCAGAATAATCCAGATGTGGGAGGATCCATACAACATTATACTTCATACAGCATCAATTGAGTTCAGGTTTAACAAGTTACAACATTTGATCGATACAAATTTTCCAGATAATAAAAGTTATTGAACACTTACTTTAAGCCTTTTAGCACGAATCTTCTTCAAGATTCTTCGCATTACATTTATATGATCATGCAAAAACCCTTTTTGGATCATGTCCTTGAGAAGCTTAAGAGCAACATCTATTCTTCCGACCTTTATGTACCCTCCAACCAGCGTGCAGTAGGAAACATTATCTGGTACAATACCATTTGACGTCATTTGTTCAAAGATCTCATGTGCCTTATCCATTTCAGCTTGCAAACAATACCCCTTAATCAATATGTTGTAAGTTATCACATTCCCACCGAGCTCTTTACCATGTTGAAACATTTCTTGAAACAGTTTTTGCGCCTTATCCATCATACCTTTTTCACAAAACGCATTCAAAAGGCCACCTAGAGTTACCGTATTAGGAAATATATCTTGAATCACCATATAATCACAGAAACTCTTCGCCTTTTTCAATTGACCTGAAAGACACAATCCATTAAGTAATGAACTATAAGTAACAATATTTGGACATAAATCTCTTCTGATCATTTGGCTAAACATAACAAGAGCCTCCTGCGTCCTTCTCTCTTTGCAAAGAGCATCCACTAGAATACTATATGTTATTACATCCGGGGAAATAGCTTGATCCTTCATTTTCTTAAACAACTTGCTGGCTTCACTCCATTGGCTTGAATGGCACAATCCATAGACTAAAGTGTTGTAGGTATATATATCAGGAGAGATTCCACTGTCGAGCATGTTGACTAAGAATCTCATGGCTTCTTCCCAGCAACCAAATTTGCATAATCGGTGCATCAAAAATGTATAGCTGACAACATCTGGTTGATAACCATAGTTGATCATATCTTGAAACAAGCTCAAGGCCTCATCGATCCGTCCTTCTTTACACAAACCGTTAATGATCACACTAAAACAATGTTGTTGGGGTTTAATCCTCTCATCATTGCACATTCTCTTAAGCAACTTCAGTGCCTTCTGAGTTTCTCCAGCCTTACAAAACCCATTAATGACAATCGCATAAAAGACCTCATTATATATGGGGTCCTTCTCTTCTAGTTTCCGGAGAAACTCCACTGCCCCAACCATCGAGCCTTCGTTGCAAAGCCCATGAAGCAGACTACACAGTGTATAAGCGTCCGGTTTAAGGGCGGTTTTAATCATAGTTGCTAAAACAGAGAAAGCTAACTTCACCTCCTTCAAAGAGCAAAAGCTCTTGATAACAACATTCAAAGCAATAACTTCTGGGCGTAAATCACGACGACCCACCATCTCTCTGTACATAGAGACAACAGTGGAATGGCGGTTCTTCTTGGAAAGCGCACTGAGCAAATGAGTGAAAGTCCAAATAGAGGCAATGGGTCGCATTTGAATCATGAAATTGAAGTAACCCAGAGCTTCTTCTACTGTTAGGTTTCCAGATTTACATCGTGTTAGTACCAATTTCTCCAAACGGGGAAAAGAACCAATATTTCCATTACTACCAGAAGCATAAGAACGAAAATGGAATCTGAAAATCCCAAAGAGAGAGAAAATAGAAGAATTACCAGGAGCCCTAGAGATCAGCATTTGGGTCTTCATGCTTAAGGGGAGAAAAAATTTGGTGGCGAATCAAATTAAAAGAATAAAATAGTAATTTATCCCTTATTATGGTTTTATACCACTGCATTTTTTAGTAAAATTTTTAACGAGACAGTATAAATACGTATAGATAAATTATATTTTTTTTTTTATGGTTTTTATCTTATTAAGTTTTTCTTAGTAAGGTTTTTAATGAGCCATCATGAATGGTGAACATTTAAAAAGAAGTGTTATGAATAGTAATTGTCTAATACAGTTAAAGTTACTACGCAAGTCAATCAAAATCACTATTTATGTCAGAATCTTATTGTGCAAATAGTAACCGTAAATAGTAAATATTATGCAAACAGTAACCGTGAATAACACTAAAAATTTTCTTATAAATAGAGCTCTAAGACCCTTAGGCTCCGTTTATTTCATCGATTCGAGTTTAGAATTCAAATTTTGTTACAGTAAAAAGTTCTCAGAAACAGTCATATCTAACTTTTTTTGTTATATTAAAAAACTCTCATATAAAGTCACATCTCAACTTGAATTAAAAACTCAAATCAACGAATTAAATGAAAAATTCACATTGGAATATTATCCTTGCCATTTACAACCACCATAGTCTCAAGGACTATCGACGTTTTTATTGATTGTCCAAGACAAAATTATAATGAGAAAATTACTGAATTTATTCTTAAGAATATATGGATTTAATTTTTATTTGTATTTTTAATTAATAATTTTTTAATTAATATAGATATTTGATTAAAAGGATATTAATCTGATTAATAACTTTTTAATTAATATAGTTATTTAATTAAAAGAATATTAATAAAAAAATAAGAAGTAAAAATCTAAATTTATACACTTTAAGAAATATTTGTCTCATTTTGCTATAATTAAACGGACTTGTTCCAGTAATTATATGAGCTAGCAAGAAAGTGATGGACTGACCTAATTCAAGCTTCAATAATAACAAACAAAATTAATTAATCCAAATTAATTTGACTATTTATTAACTTTACACCACTTCACTAAGAAAATCCTATTTATAATGTTTTTATAAATAGAAACTATTAGCTTAAACAATATACCAGGACTACTCGAATATGATGATATCATTTACTTTTTGAAATTAAACAAACCAAAGTATCAAAATCAGGACTCTTAAAAGGATTTTTGAGTTCCCCATCTATCCATTCCCTTTTCTAAATAGAAACCCCAAATAAAGACGGAGTCGGACTTTTTCTTTGGGGGATGTAAATCAAATAAAAATTTTGAACTAAAATATAATAAAATAGCCTTTCAACTTTATTTTTCTATTTGTGAATTTGTATAGCAGTATAATTGAATTTTGATTTATTAGAGATTTTAAAGTCGTCGTTCATTTCATCAATTTGAGTTTTCAGTTTTAAATTTTTACAGTTAAAAATTCTTAAAAAATATCACATCTAACTTTTTTTAGTATAGTTTAAAGCTCTCAAAAAATATCACATCTCAACTCAAATTAAAAACTCAAATTCACGAAGCAAATAAGGCTTAAATTTAGAATAAGAGTACTTGAAAAATAAAATTATAATTAAAGTTTTTATTCCCGGACAACAAATATTCATTCGTCCTTTTCTAACTGCGTCCCAGAAGGCAATTTGTATTTATGGAATCTGTGCAATGCCGCGTAACAAACGAAATGGAGGGGGAAAAAAACGAGAGAGACCAGAAGAAACCATTAACATTTCAGCCCACAATATAAGATTTCGTTCATTTTACCGATTTAAATTTAAAATTTAAATTTTGTTATAATAAAAATCTCTCAGAAATAATTACATTTAACTTTTTTATTACAGTAAAAAATTCACATAAAATCACATATCAACTCGAATCAACGATTTAAACGAACCCTAATTATTAATAGAACTATTCACACTTGGGAACCCTCTCTGCATAAGGCTTAGGACCAACATGAGAATAAAAGCACAATCCAGAATCGAGAGAACAAAACTAACTGAAGTGAAATGCTTATTCGATTATTCTACTTTCCATTCTCTAATTATTACCATCATGAATAGCCCCAGAAAAAAAAAAATCCCTATCCCACCATGAATACCCCCAAAAAAAAAAAAAAAAAAAAAAAATCCCTAGTTTCTACATAATCCAGCCAAGTCATGCCCACTATGCAAGCTAAAGAAAGAAACCAAACAACAAACACAAACATAAAAGAGAAAAAAAAAAAAAAAAAAAAGTGAGAAATCTGCGCCCTAAAAACGATTGGGTCACAAACAATGTTGTGAGTCGAG